TTTTGAGACATTAAATCGAGGTCCCGTGTGCTTTAACACTTGACACGTTAAATAACCAGGGGAAGCTTCTGTATTTTGAACTATCCTCCACAATATAAAATGACTAATACATACTCTTCTTGAAGACTCGCATATATGGGCAACTGGTGGCGTGTATAAATAAAATCAAATACACACGCACACGCATGCGCGTGCATACACACACACGGGCGCGCGCGCACACACTCACACGCACACGCGCGCGCACGCACACACACAATACACTGACTGGTTATAACAGCCGTGTAAGGCTGGCATTTGCAGTACGCCATAAAGCAAGAGATATCCCGTGCGCCATAAAGCAAGAGATATCCCGTGCGCCATATGGCAAGAAATATCCCGTGCGCCATAAAGCAAGAGATATCCCGTGCGCCATAAAGCAAGAGATATCCCGTGCACCATAAAGCAAGAGATATCCCGTGCGCCATAAAGCAAGAAATATCCGTGCGCCATAAAGCAAGAAATATCCCGTGCGCCATAAAGCAAGAAATATCCCGTGCGCTATTAAGCAAGAATATCCCGTGCGCCATAAAGCAAGAGATATCCCGTGCGCCATAAAGCAAGAGATATCCCGTGCGCCATAAAGTAAGAAATATCCGTGCGCCATAAAGCAAGAGATATCCGTGCGCCAATAAAGTAAGAAATATCCCGTGCGCCATAAAGCAAGAGATATCCCGTTCGCCATAAAGCAAGAATATCCCGTGCGCCATAAAGCAAGAGATATCCCGTGCGCCATAAAGCAAGAAATATCCCGTGCGCTATTAAGCAAGAAATATCCCGTGCGCCATAAAGCAAGAGATATCCCGTGCGCCATAAAGCAAGAGATATCCCGTGCGCCATAAAGTAAGAAATATCCCGTGCGCCATAAAAGCAAGAGATATCCCGTGCGCCATAAAGTAAGAAATATCCCGTGCGCCATAAAGCAAGAGATATTCCCGTTCGCCATAAAGCAAGAAATATCCCGTGCGCCATAAAGCAAAAGATATCCCGTGCGCCATAAAGCAAGAAATATCCCGTGCGCCATAAAGCAGAAATATCCAGTACGCCATAAAGCAAGAAATATCCCGTGCGCCATAAAGCAAGAGATATCCCGTGCGCCATAAAGCAAGAGATATCCCGTGCGCCATAAAGCAAGAGATATCCGTGCGCCATAAAGCAAGAGATATCCTGTGCGCCATTAAGCAAGAAATATCCCGTGCGCCATAAAGCAAGAGATATCCCGTGCGCCATAAAGCAAGAGATATCCCGTGCGCCATAAAGCAAGAAATATCCCGTGCGCCATAAAGCAAGAAATATCCAGTGCGCCATAAAGCAAGAAATATCCCGTGCGCCATAAAGCAAGAAATATCCCGTGCGCCATAAAGCAAGAGATATCCCGTGCGCCATAAAGCAAGAAATATCCCGTGCGCCATAAAGCAAGAGATATCCCGTGCGCCATAAAGCAAGAAATATCCCGTGCGCCATAAAGCAAGAAATATCCCGTGCGCCATAAAGCAAGAGATATCCCGTGTGTGAAGCGAAACTTTGCTGAGTCTTTGTTTTTCACGTTTGTAGATATTTGTAGACTCGGCCTACATATTAACCTTATACGACGCGTTGATAACTCAAAGGTCACGCCCGTTTAACTCACAACGAGTGAAAAATGTCCATCGGTAAAAATGTTGTGAGCAACTTCCGTTCCTTGTTGTGAGCACCCATCTATGACGAGTGACACCATAAACAAGGTGAGTTTTTCATAATTTTTGAAGATTACAGACATTTATGTAAAATTATCGGAATGCAGTTAGCTAGCGATGTGTTTTCCGAGTATGCACATGTAAAGATATTGCCTGTTGGTGGACAATTTGATGGAAATACCGTGCGACGCAGTCACTCGGGGTAGCTGGAAAACTCGAGACAACTTCTCTTTGGACCTAATTTAACATTGAAAACGTCGATTCTGGTGACGTTTTGTGCATTCTAACCTAAAACAGATGCCCACAAGTCTTCAGCGTAAATTATTATCTGAAAGTCTTCGTAGAAACGAAGATATACTCTTTTTTGCTTTAATCCTCGTTGTGAGCACCATAACCTCGTTGTGAGCAAGACAAGCGCAGTGCTTGTCTGGTTTTAATATGTAATTCAAATGGCAAGAATACAATTTTCAATCAACCAAAAGCAATCAAAACGTTTTTGTACAATAGTTTTTCTTTGCAATAGTTCTTCTTTTTCTTTTTTTGAAAATTATTCTTCATATTCACAAGTCATAACTAATCAGTGGAGGTAAATCAGGTATTTTGTTTCGTATACTCTAGTGTGGCACGAGTGAACATCACGGGGTGTTTATGAATATTTCAACAATTTCACAATATGTGTGATACACACATACATGTGTTTATCTTGAGCTGAAGACTGACCAAGTTATGTAAATCAAGAACTATCAAGGTAAATTGACAATGCCCCTGAAGTGGTGCTTTGTCCTTTGATTAATGGACCCGATAGATTATTTGTTTTTGGACAATTAAATCTTCAATGTGAAGGTAATTCAAGGTCAAGGTGAAATAAATATAGGTCAGTTGGAAGGTCTTGTCCAAAGAGCCATTGTGTCCAAATTAATTCCACTTACTTTTAAAGAAGTTCTGACCAATGTTAAAGTTTTGGGATGTTCTAGAAGGTCATTCACGTTACAAGGTAAAAAAGTACAGATCAGTTTGAAGGTCTTGTCTAAAGGGGTGTTGTTTCAAAATATGAGTAGAATCCGTATACTAATAAGGAAGTTATGACCAATTTTTAAGTTTTTGGACAATTTGACCTTCAAGGTGAAGGTCATTCAGGGGTCAAGGTCAAAAGAATATAGGATAGTTGAAAGGCCTTGTCGAAAGATGTGTTGTGCCTAAACATTATGCCAGGACATTATGGCCAATCTTAAATGTTTTTGGACAATTTGACCTTCAAGGTAAAGGCCATTCAGGGGTCAAGGTAAAAAAATACAGGTCCGTAGGAAGGTGCTAAGGGATGTTGTGTTCAAATATGAATCAAATCCGTTTACTAATAAGGAAGTTATGGCCAAGTTTTCGGACAGATTGGCGGACTGACAGACGAACAGTTCAAAACTAATATGCCTCCCTTTGGGGTATGCACAACGTCTTGCAAAGAAATGCTGCTGTGCAAAAACGTTTTAATTGCTGTTGTAGATTGAAAATTATATTTTCACCATCTGAATTACATATTACAACCATACACTCACTGCGCTTGTCTTGCTCACAACGAGGTTATGGTGCTCACAACGAGGATTAAAGCAAAAAAAGGGTATATCTTCGTTTCTATGAAGACTTTCAGATAATAATTTACGCTGAAGACTTGTGGGCATCTGTTTTAGGTTAGAATGCACAAAACGTCACCAGAATCGACGTTTTCAATGTTAAATTAGGTCCAAAGAGAAGTTGTCTCCAGTTTTCCAGCTACCCCGAGTGACTGCGTCGCACGGTATTTCCATCAAATTGTCCACCAACAGGCAATATCTTTACATGTGCATACTCGGAAAACACATCGCTAGCTAATTGCATTTCGATATTTTTACATAAATGTCTGTAATCTTCAAAAATTATGAAAAACTCACCTTGTTTATCGTGTCACACGTCATAGATGGGTGCTCACAACGAGGAACGGAAGTTGCTCACAACATTTTTACCGATGGACATTTTTCACTCGTTGTGAGTTAAACGGGCGTGAAGGTGTATTTAAAAAAAATATTTTCTTAATCGAAACCTCAAGTTCAGCACGCACGATTTTTTAAAGCTGCATGACTCCAGATAAGCCATAATATTTCATGAAAATCAAACTTGGGGAACAATGTACAAATGTTTTAAGAAAAGTTAAAAGATTCAAGATTCAGCTATTAATTGATATTTATGTGCGATTATGTCTGTTTTTGTACTATTTATCATATATTCATACCGTGTTATTAACGCAGTGAGGGCTACGTTTTGCATATTTTCTTTCGTCTATCTTATTTAATACATGTACAGGCCTGCGACAGAAAACTATTCTTTTAAAAAAAATGAACGAAGTATGGACACGTTATTAAAATTACTTTCAAGTTTTAGATTTCACCGTTATCATTTTACTGGAGTTTAAAGTTGCATGCTTTGAGTTGAGCCAAACTATTTCAAGAAAATCAATCTTAAAAAAATGTACGAGGATTTTAAGAAAAGTAAAATGATTTCAAGATTCAAATAATAATTATCATGTTAATGTTAAATTTTTCAGGGGGTTATCACCAAATTTCTACTGCGTGACTCACGCAGTATGGGTTATTTTTGCATTTTTGGATATCATTTTGGTTATAAACATGTGTTGTTGGTGCCGTTTCCAATGTGTCAATTACTTTCTTTGTTAATTTCACAAAATATATTTTATTTTTTATTACATTTTCAAATAACATGAAAATGGAGGCATACCGCTTTAAAATTGTTTCAACTAATTTTTACGGTTTGTATAAACACATTATATAGATGGCCTTAATTACATTTCTGTGAACTATTTTTTGTTCATCATTATAATTAATAATGTTAACTAATTGTTTATCTCCTTATTTTTGCAGATATTAAATTCACTCCGGCAATACGGACCGGCGCTGACTGTTTCGGTCTTTGTTCTTGTCAGGAATTCTCAACATTAAATTTTTCTGACAATTAAACAAAATTTTAATGAATGTAACATTTCATACACTCATGTCGCTTTTTGTACAATTTTGCTTTGCGATTTTCTGATTGATTAAAATCATGTGATAAAACATGTTTAAACCAGTTTACTTTTATTGATTTTGAACAAGAGTAAAATGTTGCTTATATTTTGCAAAATCATTATAATAGAAATATAATACAATAAATAAAATCATATCACAAAGTATATAACCACAGGACAATAAAACATGAAATATGGCCCTTGATAAGGTCTATAAAAGAGTAAGTTATCAGTGAATGTAAATCAATTTTATTAGAAAAGTCTCATAAATATGAGTACAATTCATAAATTATAATTCTATGACACAATAATTCATTATTGGTAAACACATAAATGCGGTAAATTGTCTTTTAAAAATCATAATCTTTAGAAAAATCATTATTATTATATGTGTTAAAATTGAAATAAAAAATACATATATACAGTTATCTGTATTTTCAATTGATATAATATTTCTGAAGACGAAAATAGCATAAAGCAATGCCCTGATGATCTGAAAACTTTTTAGAAGGACTCCGTTGAAGTGTTTTTCACTAACGGAACTAAAAATATTTTCTCTCCAACTTTTGTATACTATTTGATGGAGGTCTGGTCCAATAATTTGTATGCAAATTTTCTAATCATTCTATCGACCCGCTTTTCCAGAATTTTATTTTTATTGTGCAAAATGACCCAAAAATGAAAATTGTTTTAAAAGCTGGCTAATACTCGCACAAAATCGATCAATTAATTCTATTATGAGTATATTTCTATATTTGCCTTTTGCGGGTTTATCCTTTTAAAGTCCTACACTTGATATATGTACAATTTTTAAATTGCACGATTATAGGCTTTTAACCCTAATTTGAGTTCCTTTAAACATGATGTTTTATAAACATTTTCGTAAAAAATCTGAGAATAAGAGAATTTACCCGATCACCTGATTAGATACGAAAGGCAATGCTATGGTGTGACATTGCATTTGCTTTTCAGCCGCCAACATATTAGCCGCGTCACGACAAAACCAACATAATGGGTTTGCGACCAGCATGGATCCAGACCAGCCTGCGCAACCGCGCAGTCTGATCAGGATCCATGCTGTTCGCTTACGAACCGTATAACAGGTAGAGAAACTAATAGCGAACAGCATGGATCCTGATCAGGCTGGTCTGGATCCATGCTGGTCGCAAACGCATTATGTTGGTTTTATCATGGCACGGCTAATATTTAAAATCATACATAAACAGAACATAGTGGCTATGGACGTTTGCAATTTGCTACACACGTCAACATTCTATTGCATTTTGTCAGAATGTCTTTAGCATGCAGCTAATCTAATTGAATTGCAAACAAACCAGTGTGGACCTTGAAATAAACACTTATGCAAAAAACACATTAACATGATTGCATTGTCGATTCATATTTCACGGTGCGTAGTATTTATATTCAAGAATGTCACATGAGACGTAATGTGATACATTGTATCAAGTATATGTGAAACATTATGCAAAAAACCTATCTCCAATACGTAAAAAGAAATCATTAAATGATATGACGCTTTCAATATCAAGAATTGAAAATGAAAGTTTAGCAAAATTGTACACAAAATCATATTGAAACATGTAAATATATCCTGAGAAAAATTAACAGAAATGCAAGATTAACAAAAACATTTGTTGAAATCATCACTTAAACCGCAAGAAACGGTTGGAAAATACTTCTTCCTTATTCACAAAATTGTGTATGTTACTCTTCACAACAAACGAGATATGTAGATCTTTTTGCCTTTTGTTCATTTGCACAATAATATGTTTCACTGTTTATATAAGAACGAATTGGGCAGGGTCATTTAAACATGCTTGTTGACACGCTTCTACAGTGGCAGGTCCATCTACAAGGTTATAATAATAAATATATAAAGTCAGTTAAAGGAAAGAAACAGAATAATACCGAAACACAGATTTTTATAGTAAACAATATTGCACAATCATGAAAACTGAAAAAAATGAAACAATAAATTACATCAATGCTTTTCTTTACGAGCAACAATCAGTGAATAAAAATGAAAATAAAAGAGAGTTATAATACAATAATTCTGGACAGTTAAGATCAGCCTTAAAGATTTTATGAGAATTCCAATAAATACCACTGTCTGGAAATAAACCCACAAAAAAGTTAATCTTGAAATTTTGAATGAAATTCTCAAAATATATATAAAATTTGGAAACGATAAAATGCTATCAAACCTCAAAATTGAAAATAATTTAGATTCGGACAGACCGAGTCTGTTTATGGGTGACAGTGACAGGGTAAGCTACCATTAACGCAAACTAGAAACGGCTTAAAGTAAAATTAAATAACTAAATATAAAAACGGTGAATCTTTGAGATCAAAACAACCGAGGATGTGTCTGAAAGCATTTTTAAATTGCTGGTTTGTTACTGATACATAAAAGAGAAAAACAATTAAATTCTTAATAGACACACAAAACAACAAAACCGAATTAGAAACCGTTGCAGTCTCGGTTTAATTGAGCCTGTTCGTGGGCGGTAGTGGTAAAAACAGACTACCGTTCATGCCCCCTATAGCTCCGGCTTTAACAGAAAATGAAAATGGGGCATACTCACAAACGCCAAATAATTCAATTTTAAAACAAATCTTACTCAGAGGAAAGAATGTATCGACGCCAGTATCTCGTCTGGCAGATTCAATGGCCCTCTTCAACGCAAACAAAGCAGAACAGCTCATGCACAACGGGGGTTCACCGCACGCTGAAAAATTACATAAACTAAAGTATGCAAATATGCGACAAGGGTATTATTAGTGCGAACTTGCCTTTGTAATAAAAACAATATTTGTATACACTGAATGGGTTAGGTTTTTTATCTTTATTATGTCAACAAAGAAATGTCTTATCTCACCATGAAAATCTTAAGAACATATTAATATTTAAGTAGCTTAAAGAATTGGAGGATATGAAACTAAATGACGAAGTACATGAAATACACGTAATTTTAAGAAAACCTGATCAGTGCAGTTCTTAAAGCATATGAAATGAGCCGCGTCATGACAATACCAACATAATGGGTTTGCGACCAGCATGGATCAAGACCAGCCTGCGCATCCGCGCAGTCTGATCAGGATCAATGCTGTTCGCTATCAGTTTCACTACGTGTTATAGGGTTTGTAAGCGAACAGCATGGATCCTGATCAGACTGCGCAGATGCACAGGCTGGTCTGGGTCCATACTGGTCGTAATCGCACTATGTTGGTTTTGTCGTAGCGCGGCTCATTAATGATTTAATGTATCTAGAATATACTTTCAGAAGATGAGTCATTGGGTAAATGATACTGCTGAGGACGTAAACCAATCATATACATAAACAATATATATCTCGAAAGAATGACTATTTAAATGGTAATTGACAAAACAATGAAAATAAAAATGATTACTAGGATAAGATATAAAAACTGTCTATAATATAAAAAGAAACCGCCCAATCCTTTTTATCACTTAAAAGTTACAAGATTTTTCAATTTCCACCCCCCCCCCAAAAAAAAAAGAAGAAAAAAAAAACAAAAACAAAAACAATTACAACAACAAAATCCTGTTATGTGACATATAATGGCATTTGTTAAATCAGCCTTATTGATCGTAACTACACCAAGTAGTATGCATGAGCTTACCTTTAGCACCAAGTACTCCTCTAGGATTGGGGTTTTTCTTCACAAAGTTTATTCTGAAGTCCACAGGAATATCCTTTGACGATGGTGGTTTGTACTCCTTAAAAAACAATATTTGAGCCGCGCTACGACAAAACCAACATAATGGGTCTGCGACCAGCATGGATCCAGACCAGCCTGCTCATCCGCGCAGTCTGATAAGGATACATGCTGTCCGCTTTCAAACCCTATAACAAGTAGAGAAACTGATAGCGAACAGCATGGATCCTGATCAGACTGCGCGGATGCGCAGGCTGGTCTGGATCCATGCTGGTTGCAAAACGCACTATGTTGGTATTGTCGTTACGCGGCTCATTAGTACGTGAATTGTAGTTGTTGTAGTATATCAAAATATTAAAGGTCTTATTTTGAGTTTGCTGGCATGATGGGACTAGGAATATTTTTTCAAGATATCTATACCGCTTAATGTGGGTCTTTACCTATAGCTTGTGTGCAAATTTTCAGACCAATTGCTCACTCCGCTTTTCCACAATAACCATTTTATTACATAGTACATAATTATTTAAAATAAAAAAAGGGTTAAAACGCTCTTAACTCAAATCGGCCTAAGAATCTAACGAAATGTCGGTTTTCCATTTAATTCTGAGCAAATTTCTTTATTATCGTTTGCATATCATTTAGTTTAGTTTTATTTGATCGATTTGATCAATATAAGCTTTTAGGTTTATTTTTTTAACCTCAGTGGAGCTCCTTTAATAAGATGAGAACATATGCACTTTTGCATTTTACAACAAGCTATAATTCATGTCTGTTCACTATCAAACATTATATTTCATTTGTTATTTGAACATAAACAGGTACAGCAAGCATTAAAGCATATGGTTGAAAATAGTTTGCTCATAAATTCCTGTAAACACTTGATACTTTAATAACATTTACCACGTATAATATATTAAATGGATTTTTGAATCTGAACAAGACTATATACCATTTAAAGGAAAATATAAAGATGTGTACTGACTAAATAGTGAACAAAACAGATCATGGTAACTTAAGACGGTACAAAAGTGCCGGCTAATCTTGGAAACCACAGGTCCCATGGGCAAATATGTGTCGCCACCAGAAGGCAAAGGGTTCAATGAATTATATTTAAGAAAATATCTGTACTAAGGTTAAATTTATCTTAAAGAATGTGAAACTTTCAATAAACAATAGTATGTAACACGCTTCAGGCACACAACCCTTACACTTAAAATCACTACACAGTTACATTATTGTCAAAACGCTTCGGAATGGAACCTATCTGGCTTTAAATGATGTCTTCACACTTACCCAGGTACTGTCTGTAACCAATGCCCCTGAGGTAGGATCATATTTGCATTCCTCTGTCAGCCAGTATCCAAGACCCATCACAAAAGCCCCTTCAACTTGACCTACGTCTAATGCAGGATTTGTACTGGAAAGAGGTGTGCATATTAGTTTTTCCTCAAACTTTGAAGTAAGTTGACACTAAATATGGTTTCTGATTACCAAGGTTTAAACTTCTTCCAGTTTCAGACAGACGTGCCTTGCAATGTGCCTTCTTTCAGCGCGCAAATATAAACATTATTACCATACTCCATCATGTTCTTTTACGAATGTCTAAAAATTCTTTAATGTCATCATTATCATTGTGTAAATGTTTTTTTGCAAATGTTTCGAAAGTATCATACCTTTCACCGCAATCAAACAAAACGTCCACTCTTGTCAACTGATGTTCTCCGGTAAGAACATCAAAGTCCACTTCGGCTATAGTTGCACCATAAGAATAATATTGGAAAGGAGTTTTCTGATCAGGATTCGTCCTAAAAACAAAAATAATTCATTAGCAATTGTGAACAGTTAAAGTATATATAGTTTTATGAGCCTCCATGGCCGATGCGGTTAAGGTCTTTGACTTCACACCACTTCACACCACTAAACGTTATTAGTTCAAATCCCACCAGAAACTTTTGATTCTTTAATAAGAGGAAAGCAGCTAACTTAAACAACGCCGTTGTTCCTACAGGTGCCTGCTTGTGCTGAATTAATGCACGAAGAGGCAAAAAGTACTCCATCCACCACCAGAGCTCGCAATCTCCATATGACATTTACTGTGTCAGTGAGACTTATAAAACCCAATAAATATAATTCTTATAAAACTCTCTTATATTCTTTTCAAACGATTGTGTGTGTTTCAAAGCATGTGTGTCTTTGGTTTAACTCAATTCTCATATAAAATAATTACACTTTTACATACACTACCGTTACTTCAAAACGCAAGAAAGTGAACGGCAGTTGAACACTCGGCCGATGCGCAGAGTAACTAATGCGACATGTTTTATGATGAAGGTGATGTATGAAATATATCAAGTGCTTTTGAAGGGATGAGCAGTAGCTAGAAAATAACAAAAATGATCGGTGTAAGATATACATATATCTAGCACTGAGGTCAATGCCCTCGTTGTAACACTCGTTGATGACCTTCAGCCAAGTTGGATCAGTGATCTTTGCCCTCACTGGTGCCATCCTTTCTTTCAACGTTTTACAGCACTCTATCACACCCTAAAAGGAAACAACATGACTGTTTAAAATAGAAGAATTCATTTCTGAAACATTCAAATAATTCTGGAAAAAGAAAGATACCTCTAAAGCGAGCAATGAAATGAAAAATTAATTAATTGATCCTGTCTGCTCTTTTGAGATAATGGAAAGAGCAACAACGGCTAAATCAGTGTATCCTCAACACAAAATGAATTAAGATTATTGTCTCCGAAGGTCTATCTGGAATGACGTGCGAGGCAAGTCTTTTTATGCTGCAGCATCACAATTAACACCTGTCAGGAGTAATCGGAATAAACCATAACACCTGCTGTGGCAACAATAATGGATTAAAACATTACAAAACATATAATCCTTCAGTACCGATAGCTTTCTACATACATTCTTGTGACTCATTAGTGTAATTCTCCTAATACTGAAAAAAAACACCTGAAAATCAGACAATTGTCAACAAAAGGGTGCTAATTTTTTCTCAATTGTTCACCTTAAAACGATCGAAAAAATGGGTTTATGGACCCATGCAAACATTATGTAAATATTGAACAACATACCGCACAGCAGTTTTCTGACGTTATACTACCTCCGGTCGTTATACCATTGGCAGTGACTAGTGAGTTTGTTGGCAATACTCTTATCATTTCCATTGGAATTCCAAATTCATATGCACACACTTGAGCAACCTGTTGTTAGATAAAAAAAATTCGAACACAAAATTTTGATTTTTATTAAGAAAAACGTTTGGAAAGAGTAACTGACCTTTTTGAGTAAACCAACTGGATAGCTTCCACAAATGTAGGGAAAAAGGTGACCAAGTTATACTTTCGCCTGAAATGTTGCCTTTTTCAGATTGTGCAACGTCAATCATTACATGTAGATCAATTTACCTAATTGCAAAGGCTACATTTATAATCTAAAAATCGATGTTAATGTGCTTAAGGTGAAATAAGAGGTAACTCTTTTGTAATATTTATAATTTGAATAGTTATGTCAAAATTAAATTGTGCACCTACTGCAAATTATTACCTTTGTATTCACGCCTTGACCGATCTCTACGCCACCATGTGATATCGCTACCGTACCGTCATTCCAGTACACCGACACCTGACACCCGTATCTGGCACCTCTCCAATCTATGCCGAACTTTAATGGTACTAATGATATACCTTTCTTCTTCCACCTATTATTCTGTTTGACATAACAAATATAAATGTTTAAATTACTTTGTTAAAGATCCATTAAAAATGAAATGATTTAAATTTGCAAACGCTTTGTATTTAGGTGTCGTGTTACGTGATAGTTTCCAAAACGTCAAACATTGGGCATACAACTGAGACATCTTTTGCTCTTTTTGCGTTAGGGCAATCACAATGGTTAAAAGATTTTTATGGAGGTCAAACTACATTGACTGTTTACATTTCTACTATCCGTATCACCACAAATTGTTTCACATACACTGCTTCATGGTTTTTCTTTAGGCGATTGGCATAATACATGATTTAAATCCTTTTATTACAACATTATTATAAAAAAAAGTTTGCTTTTTCTACAATAAAAATAACATTTATCTATTTCTGTAGCAAAATGTGCCTATGAAAATGATGTTTCTACCGTGTTTCTACCGTGAAGATTATGTTCAAAGAAATAGAGAAAACAAATATCATATAAAATGTGCCTATGAAAATGATGTTTCTACCGTGTTTCTACCGTGAAGATTATGTTCAAAGAAATAGAGAAAACAAATATCATAGATTTGTGTACATACAACATTTATTTAACATGACTGTCAAAATTTACAACAAAATCTATTACAAAATTAAAATATCTCCCCTGTTATATAATTAGAAAAATATAGCAAAGATGGTAAAGCAAATTCTTAATTGCAACCCGATACATTAAAGGAATAACTGATACATCTATTAAACAATATTACCACATTGAAGTATTGAACAAAAGAAGGAACATCATCATTGTTACATAACAATTAACATTAAGGACGTTCGGGTATTCATTTACCTGGTTAAATGTGTTGATTTTCTGGACTCTATCACTGTATTCAGCATTGGCTTGTAGCAGTGCAATCTGGGGCTTCAGCTGACAGTTGGTCAATACCATTTGTGTAAGAGGATCGGTCTGGAATTAATCAAACCTTTGACACCTTCTTTAAAATATTTATTATCTTTTATTATTATGATTTATTATTATTATTATCTTAAGAAAAATAACATTATTATAATTATTACTTAGAAAAACAACACGTTTTAATTAAAAGAAAAAACATGACGTATTTAAATGGCGGCGCAAATAGAACAATTTTCTGGTTAAACAAGATGTTAGCCTATTTAGTAACATAATTACAAAGCTCGTTGTGTACCTTATATAAGGGAAAAGTTCTTGCCCTACCTTAATATTAAGGAAAATAGACAGACGCTTTGTTTGAATCTCTGTTTTACCTGTGTAAAAGTGAACATCGTATTCCAAAGGACAGTTTCAATATTTACCTGAACAGTGCATCAGTCAATATGCTCAGTAGACGTGTTTCCATATCTGTCTTACTTGTGTATCAGTAAGCATGATCTGAAGACGTGTTTCAATGTCTGTCCTACTTGTGTTTTTGTGAACATTGTGTATACGGGTATGTGAACATGTTAAGAAGACGTGTGTCAAAATCTGTCCTAACCTGTGTATCTATGAACATGCTCGGAAGACGTGTTTCTTAACTGTGTATCTTAGAACATTTTCAATAGACGTGTTTCAATATCTGTCCTAGCTTGTGTATCCTTTAACATGTTCAGAAGACGTGTTTCAATATCTGTCTTACCTGTGTATCTATAAACATGTTCAGAAGACGTGTTTCAATATCTGTCTTACCTGTGTATCTGTAAACATGTTCAGAAGACGTGTGTCAATACCTGTCGTAAATGTGTATCTGTAAACATGTTCAGAAGACGTGTTTCAATATATGTCTTACCTGTGTATCTGTGAACATGTTCAGAAGACGTGTTTCAATATCTTTCTTACCTGAATATCCGTGAACACGCTCAGAAGACGTGTGCCAATATCTGTCTTACCTGTGTATCTGTAAACATGTTCAGAAGACGTGTGTCAATATCTGCCTTACCTGTATATCTTTGAACACGCTCAGAAGACGTGTGTCAATATATGTCTTTCATGTGTATAGTCTGATTTTATTTACCTGTCAATTATGAATACATTATAGCACTCATTTAAATATTAGATCCCACTTCGGTTGTGTCCGTTTATTTTACGATAATTAATATGGAGCATATAAATAACGTTTGGATAACTCTCACTAGCTTAATAAAGGTTCTCGTAACATCCGCAATAGCGCAGTCGGTTAAGTGATTACTTAATGCATGAGAGGTCCGAGGTTCGATCCCTTCTTTTGACATTCTTTTTAGACTTATTTTTTCTTTATTTTTAAGAAATTTTGTATTAAATGGTCAAACTAGATAAGTTTAATCACATCTTACTGCGTACCTCTCACGGAATTTACCGAACATTTATCGAATATTAATATATTCTGTGAATTGACCGTATAATCAGTATGGAATTGACAGGTTAATAAAATCAAACAATATCTGTGAACACGCTCAGAAGACGTGTGTCAATATATGTCTTACATGTGTATCTGTGAACACGCTGAGAAGACATGTGTCAATATATGTCTTACCTGTGTATCTGTGAACACGCTCAGAAGACGAGTGTCAATATATGTATTACATGTGTATCTGTGAACACGCTCAGAAGACGAGTGTCAATATATGTCTTACATGTGTATCTGTGAACACGCTCAGAAGACGTGTGTCAATATATGTCTTACCTGTATATCTGTGAACACGCTCAGAAGAGGTGTGTCAATATCTGTCTTACGTATGTATCTATGAATATGTTTAGAAGGCGTTTTACAATATCTGTCTTACTTGTGAATCAATGAACATGTTCAGAACGTGTTTCAATATCTGTCTTACCTGTGTATCAGTGAACATGTTCAGGAGCCTAGTTTCAAATGGATCTTTGTTAAGACTTTCCCCTACGTGCTCCATGATGGATTCCATGATGAAAATTGCTGGTAACGAACCTTTAATTTATGCCAAATAAATCTGTGATATTATCTTTATATATACTCGTATAGTATCATATAGATTCTTAATTCTCATAAATATCAAAAAGGTATAATTGTTTAAAGCAGTAAGCCACTGATCAGTGTTATTTTTAATGAAAATTTAAAACAATCTTACTTTCGTAATTAACAAAGTGTACAAAACGAACTATTGTATAGTCATTTTATCTAATATAACGCACTTTGGTATCTAAAGAAATGTACTCCAAGGGGTGTAATGAAATTTGGCGGTTAACTCAAAAGGAAAAACGCCGATGTTAACCATAATATTCAGAAATACATTTGCATAATTCTGTGTCAATGTCAATTAGAAAAGTCACGTGACAGTTCAATATCTTACCAGGAGATCTTGCAGCTGTATTGGCAGGTTTGTTTGTTTTTACAGCCACGCAGGATATCGACCAATTTGGACAATAGTATGCTTGAAAATGCAACAAAAAGATTGCTTTTATTTTACAACTAAAACTCGATATCAGATTAAGCAAATGGTGCATATAGCTGTATTTTACCTTCTGTTAGATATCATAGCTTGCAATGACGATTTTTTTATATTTATGATTGTAATGACATGTACAGTCATACTTGTGTTAAAGAGCCACCTCCAAATAAACACATTCCTGTAAATAAAGGCCACCCTTTAACAACAATTCATTAATTAAAATTAAAAGAGTAACCTCCAAAATAAAGTTCACTTGTCAATAAAGACCATGTTTGGTCTTTAATGTGGTAGGCCATTTTTCACAGGTTTGGTTGTACATACATTCAACTGCCATCTGTTTATATTGATTATGTAATGTGGTAAGTGCATTTTTGCATAATAAACAAAGCGGTGAATAAAGAAAGAATCAATGCAGCATAAACAAACACTAAAGCTGTATCTTAGACTGAAATCTAAAAGCTTGCATTATAAAAAATGAGGAAACAAACTACCGATCACCCCAATACAATAACAAATAATTTTAAACAAATAATATTGGTCGCATAAAAAAACTGCTAACTTAATTGTTTTACTGCATAATGAAATCCCGGAATTGATTGCCGACCCTAAATGGAACGTAACCTCTTGTAAAGGTGACGCCCTGCAGAAACAGTCAAATGGTCAAATGTCCGCGTTGTGCCCCCTACCCGCCCTAAACCTTTTCCTCCACTAGGAAAGCAGAAGAGCCTAGATTTACTGGTTGAGGTATCTGCCTCTCAACTCATGTATCGTGGGTGCGAGTACTTCACGGGTTACCACCACGTTTCCTATCATGACACCCGTACTGGATTGATCTATGGAGCGTACCCAACAATTATCATAATGATGACAGAACAAATCAAGCCTAAATAAGTTTTTAAAAGTGTGTTAAAATGATTGTATGTTTAAATTAGATGTACTCGCTTTGCAGAGTTGGTCTTATCCAAGAAGTGAAACCACGCCTTGATCAATAAGTGCGGGGACAGGCGGAAGGTACAACTTCGGTTAAATCCCCCACCCCGATAGTTTCCGCACCGACACGGATGAGAGGGGGAGGGAAGGGGTGGCGGTGTTACAAATGACTTGTGCATAACTCATAAATCACACAGTCTCTCTTGTCTACATATCGAAAGTGTTTCATTGGTTAAAATCTAAAAAAAAGGAAATATAAACATAGAGATTGACCAGTGAAAAACGGCGTTATAAACGAGCAGAAAACATGACTATGTATAGAGGTACCATTGTCAGCCCACGTCTGCATCTGTGGAAGTGAATTGTCGTTTGGGCTGTTTCCACAATCTCCATAATATGTAACCTTTATGCCATTCAGTTGTCCGGCCTCCGTCATTCCAACCTAAATTTTTTATAAAATTATAATCAATTTAAGCTTGTGAAAAAGTTGTATTTTATTTTTATGTAGCATGATTTCTTAAAAAAAAGTATAATGCGCATAGGATATCGACCGAGAATGAGACCTTTCTGTTTAGTTTCGCAAATTTCATGCAAATGATTTGTATACTAAAAATAGATATGCACTAAAAAAGGCACGCACAATCTATCAATAGAAACGTGGGTATAAAATACATTGTATCAATGCAGTAACAGGTACCACTGGTGTATATCACTGTAAATATTACATTATTTCAGATTCACATCATTAAAGCTGCATGCCTCTAGATGAGCCAAAATGTTTCAAGAAAATCAACCTTGACAAACAATGTACAAAGATTTTGAGAAAAATATTCACAATTCAAGAAATAGAGGATAGATGTTTGTTTTTGTGCAAGATGAAATTTCATTTCATCTCTTGATCTTCAAAATCAGTATTTTAGGAGTGGCGTAACGTGATGAAAATCTTTAATAAATATTCTCTTCATTGAAAAGTGTAAAACTATATTTTGATAATTTTCACGTGAAATTATCAAATAATTTTCATTTTCACGGATAAATCAGTCATCCATCCAAATGCATTAAATAAATAATTTACATATTATTCACAATTAATGACTGATTTTGCAGTATTAATCACTATATTTCAACTTCGCTGCAAGGGATGTTTTGCATATTGTGACCTATTTTTGTTTTGTTTAACTTACGTAAATCTTATGTGTAAATTTCTTTCCTTGTTCACTTGGCAATATTTTACTATTAATAGATTTTTAAAATTACCACAAAAATATGCATGAATCTTGAGGCAAGCTGCTTTAATGGTACAAAAGTAACGTAAAACGTATGCCGTGAAAAGAATTGTGTCACACACATTCTCGCAATTGTGATTGAAAAGATGACAATTATTTTAGGAGGCAAATTGTATAATTTTTCATTGTTTTTCCATTCTAGAGAAACATTCTATATATTCTTTCATAATATCATGTTAAAGGATGATGTCAGAAGAAGGCAGCAACTCACCTCGTATAGTGCTTTAAACGGAAAACGCTTGCCAATGGCCTTCATATTGTCACCAAGAGTTAGTCGAAATTTAACAGGCCTGTAAATAAACGATATCTAGAATATGTTTAGAATATATATCATGTACATTATTTATTCTTCTTCGTAGTCTATTACTTATTATAAATACTATTTATTTATTTATAAATATACTTCGAATTTACAAAATATTCTATTCATCAAAATCGAAAGTAAAGTTTTGCAGTGCAGTTTTTGCAGTGCGCCGTTAATATTGAAAAAAGATCATGTTAAAACATTAGCCGACTAGACGACCAAAGAAAGGAAGAAAAGATACCAACAATAACAACAAAACCCCAAACAACAAAAAACAATATCCGAAACAGAAAAGCAATCTTTAGAATTTGCACATATATTTGATGCAATTGAAGACTGAATGTAAAACATTTTTGGGCGCAAAAGAACTGCAGACGAGAAAATGGAAAAAGTTCCTTCATGAGTGGAAGTTATTTAGCAAATTTTAAGAAGTCAAATGTTTCTTCTTAGATGTCTGTTCGTCTGCTCGACCCGTGGAATAAGTCACGGACAGTCATTTGAAATGTTCCTCCGCCAGAAAGCTTCTAACTAATATAAGGTCATTCATCCACGTTACGATTCCACTTAATATAATTTAATATAATAATGCTTTAAATTTAACTATTAAAACAAAGCAAAGTGTAATTATAAAATGTTTTTTTTTTCTATTTTTGTTGTTTTTGTTTTTTTCGTGAGATAAAAATATTCTTGAAGTATAAGTTATACCTGTTTGTCAGATACATACCCTGTCAGATAAATTTATTTTGTCAGATTAATTTGACTCCTAATTATCAGATAAATACTCATTTGTCAGATAAAAGCCAGTTTTGTCAGATAAATACCAGTTTGTCAGATCATACTAATTTGTCAGATTAATGCCTTTTTGTCAGATAAATATATTTTTGTCAGATATATACCTGTTTGTCAGATAAGCAGACAGCCCACAAGCAGCTGCAATCCAACTATTCCTGGTTATTTTACCACCATACGCTCCCCCAAGTCTCTTTACTTGTACGTTGATACTGAATGACAATATTTAAAATATTCATAATTTACAAGATCGCACGATTTACCTCCCTTTTCCTTAGTTAAATTTTTATAAACTTTTTTGAATATTACTCAAAATATTAGATATATAAAGCAATTTGAACATTATTAATTTAGTTCAACTTTACAGATTTTGCAATTACAATAAGTATTACTTGAGAAAAAACCAAAATATATAATATATAGAGGGTATTCAAGTTTTTTTTCTTCTATAAATACAGTATTTTCGGGATTTATTATCACAAGAAAGGTACAAGTTAAAATAAATAGGCTTCCAAGAAAGGTACAGTGTTCGGAAGTAGCAGGTGATTGTAATCACAACACAGGGGTACACTTTGAATTGTACATTTGTATAGGCCCGCATGACAGGGTACGGTACAGTGGTGTGAATTGTGAAAATGTGCATACCATAGATGAAAATCAATCTTGTATTTATAGAAGAAAAACTTGAATTTTCTGTTAAGTATAAACTAATTCTATACTTTTTTTGATCTTACGATTAGAAATACTTCTCCTATATTGTTCATTTGATATAACTTTGGACGAAAGTAGTCCGCCAAGACACGAGTGAAAATACGGAAAATATATTTTACTGCAGTGAAAAAATAAACAATGTTTACAGTGAAAATACGGAAATAGTCAAAGTGCATATGATTTCATCAATATTTCTCAATATTTCATTTATACTCGTAATCATACAATAAACATTCCGATTCTCAATAAAATTAACAGCTAAGATGTTCACCTGCTTTTCGGCAGTTTTGTAACTTGTGAAATGGCAGTTTGACTAAGATCTAACCACTGTGTACTTGAAAATACATCCATGCCGTCTTCAGTGGGAACACATAAACTCACCTGAAAATAATACATGTATGTATGTATGTATGTATGTATGTATGTATGTATGTATGTATGCATGCATGCATGCATGCATGTATGTATGTATGTTTGTTTCATTTGACACCTTTTTCCAACAGTATTTCAGTCATATAGGCGGGTAGTTTCCCAACCATCGTTCCTTAAGAGTTACACCAGTACTTGACTACCTTCCTCCGCTCTAAACTATGTATGTATGTTTCATCTTTACTTTAATAATATATAACTGTCAATATAAAACACAATTACATCATTTAATCTAAGAAAGTTCACGAAATTACTATGTACATGTATATGTTTTTTATTTATATTTTTGTACAAAACTATCACATTCAAACTCATTTGTTCGAAAATATATATCATAGAGTATCGCTACTGTTTCCTATTAAATGCTGTATGCACATTGTATCTTCATATGGCAATATTGGCTCATATTTCATGTCTTATGTCAATGGAACTGAAATATATATAGCATGTTTTTTGTTGCTGCTTTACCTGTGTTTCCATGTGAAAATGATATTGTGTTCCCATAGAGATGACTCCCTGTATCTTCTTAGGTGACTGAGCAATTGCAGCTACAAATTAATTTAGTTCAAGAAATTAAGACAGCATAAGAGGCTAAAAACAAAACATATCCTTCTTTTTTTAAGAAGAGGTAATATTCATCTGAAAGCAAATCCTGTTTGGCTGTTGCATATTAAAGGATAAATTTAGAAATGAAAACCGTTTAACCAAGAGAAAAACAATCAAGCGAAGACGGTGAAACCTACATGTATATGTTTGCTATTTATAAAGATAAATGCGTCATAAAGTAAAATAGCGAAGCTATTCATCTTAATTTATGATAAAAATTGAATATAATACGGAATTTCTATTACAAGGCGATTTCAGGTATACATATTAACTCGTGACAAAATGAATTTACGAGGAAGTCAATACGCAAATATAAGCGAAAAATCATCTTACGCAAATAAAACCAGTTATACAGTAAATTGTTGAATGGGCGAGGTTGTGTAACCATTTACCAGCTGAGTTTTATTTAATAGACCAGTCCAGCAACACATTTGGAACAGTCTATTATCTCGTTTGGGAATATTAAGAAGAAAATTTGAATTTGGTCAGAAAAAATATAGAGTCTGGTCGGACTACACGGCTGTGCATCCTGGTCAGACTCTATGCCGGTGACAAAGGGTTATCACTTTTGGTTCCCGCATGTTAAGGGTAGCAGTGCCCCGTCTTTGCTTTAAAGGTTATATTTTATACGTTTTTCAATATTCTAATAATAGATATATACCATGTTGCAGGCAATTCCAATAGTACATATTTTTTTCAATGTATAACTTGACCTTTCCCGTTATGGTAGCAGAACCTTTTGTATGCGGCAATATTTTGATGAAAACATGCGGTTACATTTTACGACAACCTCTACAAGCATATCGGCAAAATTATAAGATCTACATTGGAAAATTGTGTACCATTGGAAGTGGAAAATATTTTCTCGAGCCAGTTCTTTGTTAACAAGGACATAACATAAGGCGTAAAGTATTTTATACAATATCACATACTGTCTGGGTCACCGACAACTTTGTCATCACACTGTTTCGGGAAAAACGACTTTTTGTTGATGGCATCTTCCAAAGTGAGGACTGGAGTTTGTACATTACTGTATGTAACCTTGACGGCATAAACTGCACCAAGAGCTATTTCGTATGATTCTGAAAGTATATAAATAAAATGACAAAATATTCTACATAAATAGATAAATATAAATATTAAGATAGATTTAGAGCATATTACAGAAAAAAAATATAAAACGTGACTCTAAATAATAAAAAGATCTTGAAAAAATCAAAGCCAATAGACGTTTACCATTATTTTAGTCAGGACGGGCACCTAGGTAGAACCACCGACCTAAAATACGCTTGCTGGATAGCCTTCGAATTCTTTCGTGAAAGACGTCACTGTTCCTTGTACCCACAATGGCGAAAGTCAAATGATTCAGTCATTAAATTAAACCACTCGTCCATTGTGCCCTCATTTAATTAAAGATAAGATAATTATATCAGATTAAGATATACCTGCAACGACGATCGCAACTGGCTGACCACAATAAGTTATATTTTTGCTTACAAGTACCTGAAAAAATTATATGTTAAAATAAAATGGAATACGTTTGATTTCAAAACAATATTTTATGTTTTTTCTTGTTGTTGTTGTGTGTTTTTTGTTGTTTGTTGTTGTTGTTTTTTTTCGGGGGGGGGGGGTTGAAGGGGGAGGGCGGTTTTGATTTGTTTGTTTTTTTTGTTGCTATGTTTTAAAGAAATTTTGTGTGTAAAAGAAATATAGGGTAAGTCTTAAGTTAAAATCAATACACTGGTTCGGCAAGACGATTATGAAAATACGGAAAACATATTATACAGACTGTAAAATTAACTATGCAAGGTGTTCAATAATTTCTTTAGATGAAGTTATAATAGCAAGTCAACTCACTCAATTGTTAACATGTCTATTACACAAATAATTTCTTTTATGCATTGTATCTTAATAAAACTGCTAATAAAAATGAAAAGATATCATCATATCCTTCTGAAATTTATAAACTCAAATAAAAAAATGTGTTACACAAAGAATTTATCTGACGGAAAAAAAGTCTCTGAAACACCCTTAGCTTCTTTTTTCATTCAATTGTTGGGTGTAAAATGATTCAATGTAAAGAATATGACCATGTCCCAACTTTACTGTAGGAGGAAGACAATGTCCCAACTTTACTGTAGGAGGAAAACATCTTTCGCCTTCCATTATATCAGAGTAAAGTCACATGCCAGTCATGAAAGTTACATAGCTTCCTAAAGTAAATGAAATAATAAACAAGAGGGCCATGATGGCCCTGAAGTCGCTCATCTGTAAATAGCCCCCCCCCCCCCGCGGCGGGGCCAATTTTAACCCCAGGGCTTTTATTTGAACAAACTTGTTAGACACCCATTACAAGATGTTTCATGCATAATATCTTTCCTCTAGCTCTTTGAGTTTTTAAAGAAGATTTTAATGTTTTTCCACACACATATAGAGAACAATAATGCCCCTGGCGGGTCCAATTTTTACCCCAGGGTTTTATTTGAACAAACTTGGTAGACACTCACTCGGTGACTGTTTACTGGAAATAAAAGATAATTTACAAAAAGATTTAAATTTTATAAATGATTGGTGTATCCTTAATAATATGTCTTTGCACCCTATAAACAAAATGCATGATGATAGGTTCCTCAAAAAAGGTGAAAAAATGTAATCCTTTCTACTGAAAGTAAATGATACAACTCTTTGTATGTTACCTTCAATAAATAAAGATTTTATTATTATTATTATTATTATTATTATTATGGTGATACATGATTAGTATCTAAACTCTAGCTCTTTGGGTTTTTTAAGATAGAATAATTTTTTAAGTTTTTACTATACACATATAAAAGGAAAATCAATGACCCCCCCCCCCCCCCCGGCGGGGCCAATTTTAAGTCATTGGCTTTTATTTGAACAAACTTGGTAGACACCTATTAGAAGATGTTTCATACTAGACATCTAAGCTCTAGCTTGGTGGGTTTTTAAAAGAAGATTTTTAAAATTTTACTATACAGTAAAGTTAACATATAGAACATATAGTTACAAACAATGACACCCCTGGGACGGATCCAATTTTAAACCCAGGGCTTTTATTTGAACAAAATTTGTAGATACTCACTAGAAGATGTTTCATTCTTAATATCTTAACTCTAGGTATTTGGGTTTTTAAAAGAAGATTTTATAAGTTTTTGCTATACACATATAAGGAAAATCAATGACTCCGTGGCAGGGCCAATTTTGACTCCATGGCTCTTATTTGAACAAAAGACACTCACTTGAAGATGTTTCATCCGAAATATCTAAACTCTAACTTTTTTTTTTTTTTTTTTAAATAAGGTATTTAAAGTTTTTTCTTTTGGTTGCCATGGCAACCAGAGTTCTGCATGGAATTAAATTCTTTGAACAAATTTTAAAGGTAACCACCAAAGAAACATTTCTGTGAAGTTTGGGTGAAATTGGCTTACTGGCTTATGAGGAGATGTCATTTAAAGTAAAAGTTTACGGACGACGGACGAAAAGCGATCAAAAAGCTTATACTATCACTTTGTAACAGGTGAGCTAAAAGCTAAAAAAAACCTTGCAGGATTAAAACCCTTAGCGTTGACAGTCAAATGAAAATAAGCCAGAAACATTCAGGGCTCATTATGCTCCTAAATATAAAAATGTTGATGTTTATTTCGGCTGTTGCGTTGTTTGTTTAAAATTGACCATCATCATGAAGAATTATATCTTCTGTGTCGATGGACATAAGGATTATGTGAAAATATTGGAAATGGAATAAAATACATGGTGATGTTGACGGTAGGTGAGCGGATTTTTTACCGGCGAACATTTTTATCTTGTGTATTATTATAGACGTTGAAATATGAATTTTTTTCAAAACGGCTTATATTAAGTTTTTAGATATATATGATCAGTACATGTGCTGGGATTGACAAATAAACATTTTATTTACCCCAAGTGTCTGTGAATGCTTCATATCAAATATCTTAACTCAAGATAAAGTGTTTATCAGAAGCAGATTTAAATACATTTCTCCATATAAATCTATGTAAACTACATGTACATGACCCTTACCTCAAGGCATAAAGCAATCAAAGGGCTGCAGCTCTATGGTATTTTCTGATTTTTGCAATCTAAATCATGCTGACTATCTGTATGTTCTTTCCTGTATAAGTTTATTTTTATATACTATAATTCATCTTACGCAGCGACAGCGTTTTGATTTTCTTCTATAACAGTTTGAGATTGATACATATGGAATTTTGCATGAAAAAAAAAATAGAATTGCCTCGACTAGGATTTGAACCATAGGCCTCTCACACCCTCAACGAGACCGCTTACCTCTGCACCATGGCGAAGTTATACATATGTACCTTGAATAAAAACGAATACATTATGTAATTCTAAATTGAGAATTTCCATTTCGTGTTTGTAATCCTTATTAATTTCGAGGTATTTTGTTCACGATAAACCTGTTGTAAATAATTTAGCGAAAATCTTCTCGCCAAAACAGTCCGACATGTATATATTCTACTACTCGACAGTCAGATTTATTTGTGTACTACGCTCTGGAGTATTCGGTAATCGACATAGCTAAAAATAGCATTTTCATTGATTAAAATGATATTCATGATAATCCGAAGCTTTACGGAAATAGTCAAACATTTTTCATTGGGTAAAAAAGATATTCATCCGCGAAATTTGTGATTGTAACCTCATATTTCTGTTGACTAATCTAAACTTTTATTGCACTGTAATTCGTTAAATGCCTACATTAAAAATTATTCTTTCTTTTAAATTGCTGGTTTTTAAGCAGTTTTGAGTGAGAACTACTTTGCGTTGTTAGGACTGTTAGGAAATTTTGTGTTAGACCGTGGATGTTAGCTATGTATTTACTGATCTTACGATCAGAAAATACAAAAACAAGTCAAATTTGTTGAGTACTTAGCAGAACAACATGGAATCACAGTAGACACAGACAAGGTCAAGGCGATAAGAAAATAAATGTCCTCGAAAATACATACATAGGGTACAAAGTTTTATAGAAATGGTCAATCAATTTGGGTAATTTTCACCATAAATGGCAGCAGACTCGAAACCTATCAGAGATCTGCTGAGAAAGAAAAAAATCAATTTTACCTGGGTATAAAGGCAACAAAAAGTTTTTGATAAATTCAAGCTTACTTTGACAAGTACTCCTGTAGCTCATTATGATCCAAATATGGAAACTGTACTCATGGCAGACTCTTCCAAGTATGCTACCGGAATTGTAATTATTCAGAAACAAGATAATGATCTTATAGCCAGTATCATTTGCGTCAAGAGCATTTACTCCCACAGAGGGAAAAACAAGCATTAGGGATTTCCAGCTGTATTAAGGGCTCAAAACTGGATTTTTTATCGACTCGAATTTCAACGCGTGTGTGGCCCTTTAAATCATTTCTTCTGTATTAGTAAAGCAATTTGAAAACATGCTACAGTTACTAACTATTCACGACTTTGCTCTGGCAGTGAAATATGTTAATCAAGAAAATCATAGTCGGCGCCGACTTAAATATATGTATATTTACACGGTGGTGTAATACCTACTGCCAAAACAGCGTGTAAACAAAATGTGGCAGACGACACGCAATTAAGCAAACTCCTCGCAGCGGTTACTTCCCTTTATAAGTGCACTACTCCGAAGAATTAACGGGAGATCACTACGTGGAGTATGGCGATTAAGTTAAAAATGTTTCCTTCTTTAAAAAGAAGCATGCGAGAGGTATTTTGCAGCTGTAGAAGATTTGTTTAATTCGAAAATATTTGGAGATATTTTTGCATAAAAGGCACAATGAATGTTTATAAATAACAATAATTTAACAAAACAGAATTTATAATATATTATTGAATACAATATTTATGCCGGAGTAATGAACATTAGGGATATTTTTCTACAAAGGGAATAATTTATGTTATGTTATCAAAATAAATTCAGAATAAATGATATATATTAAAATAGTATCAAAAAAAGTTTCTTGTAAAATTCTAAAATTAAATTTTCGATTTATGATTTGGTAATTATATGGAAACATTACCTCTGCAACAGAGACTTTCCAAAACACGCATTAAGTATGTTAATCAAACATGTCCCAGATTAACATAAAAACTGTTTATAAGATTTGAATGGAATAAACAGTGTATAAAGCTGAATGCTTTTAACCACAATATTTCAAGAAAATCAAACTTGAAAAAAAATCGTGCCATTTGCGCAAAAAATACCGGTTCAAATTTAAAGCAGCTGCAAAATTTCGGTATTTGGTTCACTCGGACATAAAAACGTGCATGGTGATTTTGTAGCTATAATGTTCACTGTATTTATACTATTTTTCGGAAAACGCTATTCAGAAAACAATAATCGATTTATACAGTTTAATGAAAAATGTTGCTTGTAGTGTTAAGTAACGTAAATGATATTTTCCGGAAAAAATATTAAGCAAGATCATTACTTTGGGGTATTCTGTTTCATTTTAGGCAAATAAAGAAAAATTACAGATTTGCCAGTGTCCTATTCTAGCTTTAAAAATTCTGTTCTGACAATACAATAATTAACTTTTTTACTCACTTCCTGGTCCAAATATTTCACAATAATTAGCAAATGTTTGAGACGTACATGTTTTATAAAGTTTGACAATTATTCGTTGAATAAGCACAACAGATCAATAATTTGAAATCAATCTTTTACTGTAGTGAATACATTATGAGAGATATGATATGTTTTGGTTACTACATTCATGACAGTAACGTTATCTCTATTAAGGTTAAACTATTTGGGGTAAATTTATTCATAAATGAAGATAGGAAAGATTTAATCAATATTGTTGAGAAAGCAGTATTAGAATGGAAATGTAAAGGTTGGAATAAAAGTTTAATTACAAAAGAATTTCAAAATAACTATGTGATTACCGCAAATAAAGAAATTAGGACAAGCTATATGTCTATATTTAGACATTAAAATAAACCGGTTTAAACAAGATATTTTTCAAAATGGCTACCGGTGGAGAAATAAATACGGATAATCTTCATGATGAAATATTTGATGTACTTTGTTCAATGTGTAAAAATCGAGGTAAAAACACTGAAGGTGAAAAATTCTGTGTAGACTGTCATGATTATTTCTGTATAAATTGTGTTCAAGT